CTTCAGAAGCAAACATAACTGTGAATCAGCTATCTAGTGTGTTTTATATGATTGGAAATATAAATTTGATAAAAACTAACATTGGCAGTTTTTATAGATCTTCAAACGGCATTCGAGACTGTTGATCAAAACCGTTTGATAAAAAAATTGAAAAGTATGAGTATAGTAGAGCAAGCATTGGAGTGGTGTGTAGATTATCTAAGTAAGAGGAAACAAAAGTTAAAAGTTAATAACATTTTGTCAGAGGAAATTAACTATATCAGAGATGTTCCACAGGGAAGTATATTGGGTCCCCTGTTGTTTTTAGTGTATATCAATGACATTGTTGATTTCAAGGGTCAATGTGACATTCACCTGTTTGCTGATGATGCCCTAAGATATTTTTCTTGTAAGGATTAAGATAACTTGGTAAGAGTTGTTAATGAAACACTGCAACATGTTTATAAATGGTGTTGCAATAATTTGTTGAAAATGAACACAAATAAAACAAAATGTATGCTGATAAGTAGCAACTATAACTATACACAGTTTGTTGATAAACAATATAACATAACAATTGGAGGAAATGCTATACAGTTAGTAGAAAAATTCAAATACTTAGGGGTAATGATTGACAAGCAGATGAGATTCATAGATCATGCCAACACTGTTATCAAAACTATTGCATTTAAGTTAAATTTCCTATTTAGAAGTTCAATTGGCTTAGCACAGTGGACTAAATGTATTATATATAATACTATAATTCTACCTCACTTTAATTATTGCTCTACAATACTCTTTTTACTAAATCAAAATGAGTTGAACCGACTACAGAAGCTGCAGAATAGGGATATGCGAATAATATTATCCTGTTCAAAATATACTTCCATTAATCTAATGCTTGAAACTTTGAGGTGGATGCCAATCAAAAGTCTCTTATTACGGAATGCGTTAATTTTTATTTATAAAATCAAACACGGGTTACTTCAAATGTACCTAAAAGAGAAGTTTAATTATCACTCTAATGTGCACAATTATCCAACGCGGAACAGAAATAACTTTTATATTGAAACAGTTGTTAAGAGTGCAACACAAAATTCACTATTTTTTAAAGGTCTAAATCAATATAACCCACTTCCAGAGAAAATTAAATCAGTAACGTCTGTAACTACATTTAAAGTCAAAGTGACAGATTTCTTAATTGATGAATATTTCTCCAGAAACAGTAACAACCTATAGAATTTTAGTTAGTTTTAATTGTATCTAAATTCAGGCGTCTAATATCAAATGTAGCAAAGTCCACTTTTCTTAATTTTACACTACACAAAAAAACTATTTAAAAAACATTAGGACGTTACATAAAATTACTGTTTTGGCTATTAAGTGTGTAAATAAATTATTTTATGTAAATTGCAGTCAAAATCACCGTAGGATTTTAAATAATATTTTAAATTGGCTATATATATTGGAGTTTGCTGTATTTGATATTTAAGGTTGGAGTTTGCTATATATGATTTGTTCATGAAAGGAGATTGCTGTTTATGATAGTAAACTGAGGTGTGAAAACATCCACGACTGTATTGAATACAAACACAGTTCTGCTCACTAATTAATACTGTGATTAGCAGAAACTAAAAACGAATGTTTTTCGTATTGTCAATAAATGTGTCCATGGGCTCCGACCAAAAAATTGCTGTGAGGCAAGTCGTATAGGCAAGTTCAAAATGCCGCAGGCTATAGACGAAAGCCATAGCGAAAAATCCAAAATCGGAAATCCAGGGCGCTTGCCCTCGTGTGGTGGTGCCTATGAATGTGTTCCTTAAAGTTGACCACAAATGAGAAACTTTTTTATTATTAGTTTATTAGTGCAAGCAAGAAACTAAAATAACAACTTTATCAGTAAACGGCCGCCTGTCTGCGCTCTGTGCTGTGTGAATTAAGAATAGGCACACAAAGACAGATATACCTACAATCCCAACGCAGCCAGGCCATTGGCAACGTTGATATTATTCGTTTTATTCTTGAACTAATGCGAGTCGACTGTTCCAAAAACAAAGGACCCCGCCCTTTTCTAATGGCAAAGTGGCGTTCCGTCAAAAATGTAATACATTTTGAATATGATGTTGTACTCGACTTGTTGACCAAAAGTGTTCATGGGACCAATTCAATCCTATGACTAGTTTTTAAAATACAGGGTGTTAAAGTCGAGAAATCGTATTTCTTGAAAACTACGTAACTTAATTAAAAAGAAAAAATAAGCATTTTTAGCTAATTGTAGCATTAATATGTCCTAGTCTAACGCAAACGTACACATAAATAGTTCTAAATGTAAACATATACAGGGTGGTACTCAGTTACATCAGGGGGAATTTTTTAAATTCTGAGAGATTCTGATATGGAATGAAAACATGGTCAAAAATAAAAACTTACGTAATGTTTACTGTTCTGACATTATATAAACCCATTTTACATTATATGTATACAGGGTGATTGTTAATTCATGCCACACAAAGGCGTTTCTTAAAAAAAATAAAATACACTCTGTATATTAGGGAATTTGTTATTAATATTAATTATGCATCTAATACCTAGAAAACAATACTTTTTATGGAATACAGGGTGATAGACACATCTAATTTGTTTTTGATGCAGCAATAATTAAAGAAATATTCCTTTTTTAGAATCACCCTATATTTTACAATTCGATCCGTCAAAATGTACGAACTATTTATTTTTGTTATTAGCTTTTGGCATTTAATAACTTTATATAATTTCATAATTTTAGTATGATCTGTTTTTGAGATTCCAATATATAGTGAACCATATTTTTTTTTTAAGAAACGCCCTTCTGTGGAATGACTTAACAATCACCCTGTATACATATAATGTAAAATGGATTTATATAATGTCAGAACAGTAAACATTACGTTTTTATTTTTGACCATGTTTTCATTCCATATCAGAATCTCTCAGAATTTCAAAAATTCCACCCTGTATATGTTTACATTTTGAATTATTTATGTGTACGTTTGTGTTAGACTAGGACATACTAATGCTACAATCAGCTAAAAATGCTTATTTTTTTCTTTTTAATTAAGTTACGTAGTTTCAAGAAATACGATTTATTCTCGACTTTAACACCCTGTATTTTAAAAACTAGTCATAGGATTGAATTGGTCCCATGAACACTTTTGGTCAACAAGTCGAGTACAACATTATATTCAAAATTTATTATATTTGACGGAACGCCACTTTGCCATTAGAAAAGGGCGGGGTCCTTTCCTGGTTTGCTAAATCAGCTATGTTCAACATTTAAACAAGATAATGTTATTTCCGGTTTCAAAAAATGTGGTATTGTCCCTATATGTCGAGTCAAAGTATTGTCAATGCTACCTAATACTGACCCCATCCAGACATTACAGATGTGTACCGTTGAATCAATCGGCGACACTTTTAAAGAATTATTAAGAAGTTTGAGGCAAGGAGATACCCCAAAACCCCGGAAGAGTAGGAAAAAATGTGTTTTTCAACCAGGTAAAAGCATCGGCATACAGGAATATCAAGCAGATATCGACCCTGCAGATTTCAACCAAGCTGTAACACCGGTAACTTCTTCAAGCAAGCATCCTACTTGTTCAAAGAAAAATACAAAAACGAATGATGAAGATTCATCGTCAGTGAGCTCTAAATATTCCCTTCAAGACAGTGATGATGAATTGGACCTATCATTTTCTGAAGATAAAGAAAATTCCTTCACAAATAGACCTACACGTAAAAGTACCGAGACCCTTCACCCTGGAGATTTTGAAATTGCGAAAGTCTACGGTAAGACCAAGCAGTCTGTTAGATTGTACGAATTGTTTTCACTTCGACAATAGCAAACCATATTAGAGGGTTACAGAGTTGCGCGAAAGTCCGGAATAAAATTATTAACTGTTTAACCAGTAACTTAAAAAAAAAAAAAAACGCTGAAACACTTGAATTGATTTTACATTGGACGTATTTGTTGCCAATAAAATGAAATTTAACTCCTTAGCTGCAACCTTACCCAACTTTTTTTTCAAATGCAAAGGTATGTCGTGTGTAGGTCATAGCTTGTGAAAAATGAAATCTTACCATATCCTATTTTTTTTTCTTTTACTTATGTGGTTATTGGGAAATGAAAAAAATTCTTTTAAAAACAAAAAGTTACAAATAGGGTATAGTGAAATTCCATTTTTCCCAACAAACGACATATCGTTGCATTTGAATGTACTTAAAGTAGGAATTTACGTGTTTCTTTTTGTCAATATAAATTTACTAACTGCGGTCCTGGCAAAAATGTTGCTTATCTCAATCATTTCGCCTTATTTGCTCTCCAATTTTTGACATTTCTAAAACACTTTCTTGAGTTTTTTTTTATCTACAGGAGGACAAGACACCTCCATTTTATGAGTTTTCACTAAACAATTCTTATTATTTTGTTATTATTTACTAAAAAACAGTAATTAACTATGCACGTGTTGTTACAAACCGACTACAGCTACCATACTGGTTTAACTACTTGTTATTGGCTGAAAGTAACTTTGCCACTTTTGTTATGACAAATCTGGAGATTGCTGTTTCTGGTACAAACTTACAACTTTGCTGAATGGTTTTAACGGCTTAATTCAGTTTATGTTACAAAATAAGATCTGATATTTTAATAAACAAACATTCTAAACCGGTACGACACAAAAATCTTCAATCGGAAAATTTGGAGTTTGCTGCTTTTGATATTAGACCCCTGAATAATGTTTTGACTTATATGTATATTTTTACTAAATTTGTATATTGTGATATTAGCAAACTATCTAAATAAAGGAAATAATAATAGTTGGTGTACTTGTTTAGTGACTTAAGTTGGCGAAAACAAATTTACCTACAGCAAGAAAAATTGCGAACTGTAAAGTGGCTCTAACTAGTAAAATAGAACATTTATAGATTTACATACAAATTTGTTTTTCCCGATGCTAAAATTATTGTATTTCTAAAATTTTCAGAGCAACATTTTCCAAAGTATATCACGCCTTCATCCAGCTATTACAAAACGACAAAAGCCATGGGAAAGAATTGAACTGCTCTGGTTGGACTTTTTACAAAGCTTTACCTCCCATCCCGAAGGTCAAGCTTCCATAGCTAAAGTTTCGGATGTTTTAGATTTGGTTTTTTCACTAACAAACAGTTCTAAGATGAAAAATAAGTTAATGGCTATGTTGGTGTTGAGAAATATATCTTTTTACCAAAGCAATAAAGCCAGATTGTTAAGTTCAGGTAAGAATAATAATTAATATTGAATAAAAAAACTCTGCATTTTGTATATTTCATTTTTAGCGGACTTTTTAAATGTACTACTGACCAAGCTGACTTCTGGAAGCGAAGCGGAAAAAAATTTGGTGGTGATAATGATGTGGGCCTTGGCTGCCAATAGTCAGAAAGCAAAAAACATTTTTAAAAGTGTACATTTAGACGATAAACTTCAGAATATCTTGAAACACTATCAATTAATTAAAAATCAAGATGGGTTTTTAAAGACTGAAGACATTGAAAGGATGTCTTATGTTTTAAATATTTTAAGAGACAATAATGATAAATGTAGGTGACTGATTGTATTTACTTGTTAGGTTTTTAATCAATTTTATATAGTATTGTATTTTTATATTAAAGATTCAAATCTAAATGTGTATATTTATTTTAATGCACAGTAAGTGTCGGTGAAATGAGTTCGAATTAGAAAATTTCGAATGTCAACACTTCGAATGACAAAACTTCGAAAATACAAGTTCGATGACAAAACTACGAAAATACAGTTCAAATAACAAATAGAAAAAATTTAAAACAATACCTGGGGATATGTCAATGTGTAGACAGTATTTTGAAATCCAATTAATCATTGACCCTTTTTCTTGATTTATTTCGAGAGAATTAAATTTCTTATGAGCATTTGTACATGTGATTAGCTGAGAAGGAACAACAAATAACTATTCTCTCAGTAGCGTGTAAGGTGTTTAAAAATACGAATTAAAGAGAAAATGTATTCAGATACTCTGTAACCTACCGCACCCAGGTACCTTAATAATATATTAATTCCATTTTATTAAAAAAAAGTTGCATTCTTATTAAATTCAAAATCCTTCATTTAACGAAAAATCTCTCAGATAATTAAATCTTATTAATAATAATAATAATACTCTCCCTAATTCACCCCCTTATGAGTGAATTTCAACCCCTGAAGTCGACTGAACGACTTGTGTAGGGGAAGGGACGGCTATTATTATTATTTGCCGTGGCGCTCCGTGGCGACTTAAGGATGATTGATGGTGCCATTTGACTTACAGGTGAGGAAAACCTCACCCACCATCATCGAGACGATAATGTATGGCGATTTTATAATCTGCATGTCATATCATTTCCGGTTATTTTGTACAACCTATTGCAGCACCTCTATAAATGTTTAGAGGGTAAACTAAATATATACATTTTCCACATACATCTACCTCGAAACATTTTTCTATAGATATTCATTGAAAAGGAAAATACTGAAAAATTTAAATTTAGCACTTTTCCTACAATTTTTCCATTACGGTCCATTTTAGAAAAATCATGTATAAACAAAAATTATAGAGATCGATATAGAAAACAACTTTTAGTTCAACAATTTTCATAAAAATCAGAATTTTACACATTTTGTCAAATTTCTCGAATACGGACCATTTCAGGAAATTTTGACATAAAACAAAAATTATAGATAATAATATTAGAAGTAACTTTTATTTGAACAATTTTTTTCTCCAAACATAAATAACAGATATATTCCATAAGATATAAAAACGGCCTCCCATAAAGTACCCTCCCAGATGTTCCGACTTTGTCCAAAATCTAATCATTTTACGTCAGGCCGAAATGAAACTTAAATTTAAAATTTAATGTTTTTTTTCTTTATCCGTTTTTGAGTTTTCTTCAAATTTCGAAATTTACACATTTTCTCAAATATCTCGAATACGGTCCCATTTTAGAGAAATTTTGTATAGGATAAAAATTATAGAGAATTATATTACAAACAACTTTTATTTGAACAATTTTTATAAAAAAAAATATTTTTTTATTATTTTGTCAAATTTCTCGAATACGGACCATTTTAGGAAAATTTTGTATAGAACAAAAATTATAGATTATAATATAAGAAGTAACTTTTATTTAAAGAATTTTCTTCCCCAAACGTAAATAACAGATATACAGACATCATCGCGAAAATAGTCAAAACGGATTCAGGGGACCTCGAAACGTAAAAATCCGTCGAAAACTCGAGGTCTAAAAAATTCATGATTCCTATACTTTCCTTATATCTGTAGGTCTGTTCTGGTTTTGAGAAATAACGATCCACAACTGTCGGGCTCATGCGCAGTAGATAAAAAGTGTCCTGGTTTTTATGGGACAGTTTACAGCTAAAGAATCAGATCGCTCACTCTGCGTCGGCACTTTGGATCTCAATGTTTTAGTTTATAAACTGTGCTACTCGGATAATACAATATATGACAACCGCCTATAATAAAACAGCAGTCTTCTGCGTATCCTGAATTTGTATTCCTGGAGTGGATGTTATTTTGGAACTTTCAACTGGTCCGAGTGAGCTAACTGATTCTTTAGCAATAAACTGTGACTTCAAAAATAATGTTCACTGACACTGACAGCAGCAAGCAAAATATCAGGTGCGTTTTAATCATCCGCTTCTGTTTCCGGAATTGTCGGTTTAGTCGTTTTAACCTGTCAGATTAAAACAAGAAAACCGACAATTCCGAAGCAGAAGCGGATGATTAAAACGCACCTATTAAAAATATTGCGCCAAGATGTAGGCAACACGTAATAAAGGTTCAAAATGGCGGAGTTTTCTATCTCCTTTTAAAAGGCACTCAGAAAGCTGCGCAGTGCGACCATTCTCCGTATAGTAAAAGAAAATAAAAAAATCAAAGTATGTGTTGAGATCAATGAACTGGAGTGGGGTAGAATGCTTGTAAATAGGCTTGAGATGCGACTCTATGGGCAAAGACAGGTTATTTTTTATCTCACTCGGGAGTATTTATAACAACCATTTTCTATTTCACTTTGTTATTGTCTGGTCCACCAGCTTGTGGATTGAACAATAACAATGTGAAACAGAAAATGGTTATTATAAATACTCCCTAGTGAGATGAGAAATAAAAATGGCTGCGCCCATAGAGTCGCATCTTGTTTTATTGATACAATATGCACATTGGCTTTCTACCCCACTCCAGTTCATTGGTTGAGATGCGACTATGGGCAAAGACAGGTTATTTTTCATCTCACTCGGGAGTATTTATAACAACCATTTTCTATTTCACTTTGTTATTGTCTGATCCACCAGCTTGTGGATTGAACAATAACAATGTGAAACAGAAAATGGTTATTATAAATACTCCCGAGTGAGATGAGAAATAAAAATGGCTGCGCCCATAGAGTCGCATCTTGTTCTATTGACACAATATGCACATTGGCTTTCTACCCCACTCCAGTTCATTGCTCTGATATCGGAAACAAGTTGAATATTTTTTATCTACGAAAGATAAGAATCCCACTGCAGTTCATTGACCTAACCTAACCTAACCCCAACCTCATTGACCTAACCGTGACCTAACCTAACCACCGATGTGGAATGTGGGGATATTCAGTTGATATTCATACGCGGCCATATATTGCGTTCGGTTTGCAACGTTCCTTTAACTCCTTTAACACTTTTAACTCCAAACGACTCTTTTAGCGTTCGGTTTAGTCCGATTAGTGACAGTTTAACACGCTTAAATGTCATTTAAAAGCACCCTAAAATTTGTCCCGCTCCAGCCCCTGACTGACCGAACTCGCCTATTAGTAAGAGACCTTAACGGTAAAAAACAAGAGTGACAGTGACACTGACATTTAAGGTTTATGGTTATGTTTTTTGATATATTAAAAGTAATAAAAAACAATAGATAGGATGTTAACAGAAAATTCAATTAAAATGTTATGACCAAAGTATTAAACATCAAGTAAGTATAAATTTAAAATATGTTTCCTTTTTCTCCAAATTTTAAATAATTTTTGTCATAAATATGTTTCTTTTATACATTGACGATATTTTGTTCTGTTAGTTTGGTTTATCAATGATTATTCAACAAAAATTTGCATATTCTTACAAAATATCTAATATTTGCTGATTAAATTTGGAATAATAACCTATCAACTAGATAAGATAGTGAATAAAAATATTTTTCATTTACTAATTGTAATCAAACCATATTGTAACACCCAATAACTAATTTAAATATTTCTTCAACCAGGAATGTCTTCAGGACGAAAGTGCAAAAATTGCGGGGGTTCAGACATTGAAGTCGACCCAGCAAGAGGAGATGCAGTGTGTACGACATGTGGTTCAGTTCTTGAAGATAGTATTATTGTTGCTGAAATCCAATTTGAAGAGGGTGCCCATGGAACCTCCAGTGCTCTTGGTCAGTTTGTTTCATCAGATTCCAAAGGAGGAGCTACAAAATTTGGTGCCTCTTTCCATGTTGGAGATAGTGTTGAATCCAGGGAAATTACTTTAAAGAAAGCAAGAAATGGAATTTCACATTTATGTAGCCAGTTGAGGTTGAATCAACATTGCACAGATACAGCCTGCAGTTTTTTCAAAATGGCTTTATCAAGGAACTTGACCAGAGGTCGTCGCAACACCCATGTGCATGCTGCTTGTGTATATTTGACTTGTAGGACAGAAGGTACTGCACATTTACTTATAGATATCAGTGATGTTTTACAAATATGCTGTTATGAGCTAGGTAGGACTTACCTAAGGCTTTCTCAAGCTTTATGTATCAACATTCCTGCAGTAGATCCTTGCCTTTACATACTTAGATTTGCTGCTAAATTACAATTTGGTGTTAAAACCCAACAAGTGACAAACACTGCCTTAAGGTTAGTTCAAAGAATGAAAAGAGATTCTATCCATTCAGGAAGAAGGCCATCAGGTTTATGTGGAGCTGCCTTATTGATGGCTGCAAGGCTTCATGAATTTAATAGAACTCCTTCTGACATTGTTAAAATAGTTAAAGTTCATGAATCAACTTTAAGGAAGAGATTGATGGAATTTGGTGATACACCAAGCAGTGCCCTAACATTGGAGGAATTCATGACAGTAGATCTAGAAGAAGAACAAGACCCACCATCCTTTAAAGTAGCTAGGAAGAAGGACAAAGAAAGGCTTCAGAAGGTTTTAGAGGAAGAGGTAGAGAGTTTTTCTGATCTTCAGAAACAAATTGAGCGGCAATTAGAGCTTAAAAGAAACTTTAAGCCAATTATTAAAACAAATAAGAAAACTGATGAAGATGTAGACACAGACATATTTATCAATGAATCTACTTTAGGCACTATCCATAAACTTCTGGAAACTGATGTTAACCCAGTTGAGCCAATTACTGAAGAAGTAGGTCCTGATATATCTAGCTTAGGATTACCAAACTCTTTAGATGATACTTCTAATGCCTATATACCTCCCCCAGAGATAGATTTGGATATGAACTTTGATGATATAGATGATGAAGAGATAGATACGTATATCATGTCAGAAAATGAATGTGAAAATAAAAAAATACTATGGCATAGAAGAAATGCTTCATACTTAGAGGAACAAAAATTAAAAGCTGAAAAATTACAAAAGGAGAGAGAAGAAGGTAAGCCCGATAAGAAAAAGAAGAGGGTCATCAGAAAGAAAGTGGGACCTGTTAATTCAGCTGGTGAAGCCATAGAAAAGATTTTACAGGAAAAGAAAGTGTCTACCAAAATCAATTACGATGTACTTAAGAGTTTGAATGTAGCTCCAGTTCAAACAGAAATTACATCTGTCAATGAAGAAGATTCAGCAACAACTTCAGAATCCATAAAAAGAAGACGACTTTCTTCAATGTCAAATTATCGTGAACAAGCTCCTGATAAATCCAGTAAGAAAAAAACAGGTGGTATGGTTGGACTTCCAGTATTTGAAGATCCTAAAAAGAAGGCCAAGGAAGAAATTGTTAAAGGAGAGAAAGAAGAGGAAGACTATGAAGATTATGAAGAAGAACAAGCTGTTGAAGAAAATACAGATGAAATGGGGGTTCTTCAGATGTTAAGGCAACACAGAGAAGATGATGATGCAGAAGATTATAATTATGAATATTTTGAAGAAACTGATTACTAAATGGACTCTTTTTGAATTGTGACGATTATGTTGCACCATCAAATACAATACTGATGCAATGTGAAAAATCACAGTTTTAAGTTAAGGTATGAAATAGATGTAAAAAGTACACAAAATTCAATGCAACACCTCCACATAATGTATCCTACTCAAAATGATAGCCATAGTAAATTATGTTAGTTTCTCATTATAAATATACAGACAGTTATTGTTTAAAAGTGATTTTCTCGAAACACCACATTTCTAGTTGTGTTAGTATTGTATTTATGGTATGCTGTGTTTAAACCGGTGAAAGAAGAACATCAAATTAAAATAAATATTTTTTATTATTGATTATATGTCAGTACAATTTTTTCACCCCTAACTACTGAGGTGGAGTCTACTAGACTCTGCCCGACTATTTTAATTATACTTTCAGGTAGCATTCAGTACCTTTCTATTTAGTAATTATCTTCCTGTAATTCTAAATAGACGTTTATTGGTGATTGTTCATATTCTTTTAAGTAGACTTCTAGCATGTGAGGAGTTTTTTAAGCAATAGGTGTGACATTTTTATCCAACAAACATCACATTTTTAATACTAATCTTTGTTACATATTTCATATTATTTTTATTATGGTTCAATTTTGATTTTGGCAAAAAAAAAGTGTAAACATTTAATCCCAAATAATTAGATATTTTTAATTTTTACTTATTTTGTATTAATTTTACTTTATGGCCTTAGGCAAAGCCATTAAATTGCCGGAGTCTGGTAGACTCCACCTCAGTAGTTACGGACATAAAATTCACCTCAGTGGCAACGGGTTAAGCATTTTTTCTTTGTAATTTATAAGGCATCTTTGTGATAAGTTTGTGCTGGGAAAACATTTGTAAATAAATTATTTATTATTTGCTGTAATTTTTTTTTTAATCTAATAATTATGGTAATCATGTATTTTATGGAAAATGTTCTGCTACATCTGCAATAATTGATTTAATTTATGTGTATTAGTTAGTTTCTACTTAAATAAAGATACTACTACTTATTATTACTATGTAATGTATACAGGTCTAAAAATGGTCGATTATCTTCTAAAGATACATGTTAAATACAAAAGTTTTAGGGTTTTTTTTAAATCTATTGCAATAAGTAAAGTCAAAGTAAGTAAACAGGATCAGTAAAAAAGTCATGAAGAAGTTGCTTTTTCTTTAATGAAACACCATGTGCATTATTCGATACTTCAATTATTATTTTGTTATTGTTTAGAATATTAAGAAAAGCAGTCATATTTTAAATAAGCAGCCTGTTCGTTGGTTTACCAAAGAACTTGCAGAGTAAAGAGATTTTTTGTTTGAAATAAAAACTATTTGTGTGGTTACTAAAGACACAGTTATGTTAATAACAAAAAATGAATGTGCATTGTCAAATAATATATTTAGGGTTTATGTACTTAAGGCAAAATAGATAAAAAACTTTCATTATAAAATATTAGAAATAAATAATCACTTTGTTTTGAAAAGCCGCATGAGTACCGTCCCTCTCAGAATGTACCACTTTTAAGTACCTATTGAATGTATATTTTTTGTTCATACTATTAATCAATGAAGATTGTCTTTTTATAATAATAATTTATTTTGTGAATATACAGGGTGTTCCTTAATGATATATGCGAATATTTAAAGGTGTAAATCTAAAAAAAAATAGTGATATTTTGCTTTAAAAACTATGGTCCAAATGTAATTTTTTTCTTTCATTCTTTAATAATTTTCTCGGACAATACAACAGTTTTTATTTTTTTACTCAAAAACGGAGCAACGTAGAAAAACAAATCAGGAGATCCTTTAAATTTAAAATTGAACGGGCGATTTAAAAATAATTTTAATTTGGTAAAACCATTGGCGTACCATTTTTTCTTCAAAAATATTGAGGTTAGTGCCCCTTCGCACGCCACTGTTGAAGCTGAAAATTATTTTTGTATTGAAAAATATGCACCATTATTAACTGTTACTGGATATTAAATATCAGTGAAATATTTCAAGCGGTTACGAAAATATTAATAATTTTTTTTCCAAAAGTTGAGCACCCTGTATTTAAGTAAAGGAACATTTTATAAAGCAAACGATCATGAATTTTTCATGTAGATTTATACCCTTAAATAATCGCATATTATTAAGGAACACCCTTTATAATTTAAATTAGTACATATTTATGTTTTATTACAAATCTCTACCATTCTCACTGAACTATATATTAAACTGGTCGGTGACCATTCTAGGTACACTTAACCTCTCAGCTCGTTTAGGGGACCCATAGATAACCCTAAAACGCAATACTATGACAATTATATATAACCAAAGCAGATAACAAATCCAAAGCAAATTCGCGTTTGACAAATTTTGTAAGAAACAAATCAAAACAAAAAACTGATTAAAAGTTTAACTCTAAATGTTTAAATTTCTTTTCAAAGGACGCGGAAAATATTAAAAAGTCTTTACCCTTGTACCAATTAATTATTTATTAATGTTTAAAATATTTCCATTTTTCTTCCTCCAGTTAAAAAAGAAAAGGTTCTTATTTACGTCAGAACACTTAAAAATTTTCCATGTCCAGATATTCATGAGATTAATATCATATATTTATAAAATAAATTATAAAAATTATACAGGGTGTTCCTTAATGACATGCTAATATTTAAGAGGGTGATTCCCAGATAGCACAAATACGTCTTATGGACGTTCTAAAAACGTCCTGCTTGGACATTCAGGACATCCTTAAAACGTCCATTTCACGGCCGTGGACGTCTTATGGACGTATTTGGAACGTCCATTGTTAATAATCAGGATGTCTTAAGAACGTCCATTTAAGGACATTCCATGGACATTTTCAGAAGCTCAAATGGGGAATAATAGGATGTAAGGAAATTAGTGAAAATACTGAATAATTTCAAAAAAATTTATTTGGAAGCAAATAACCTATAAATAGTGAAATTATTAAAACTTTTTCGACAAATTCATCCTGTCTCTCCTCTACTTTGCTCTGTTCAATCATGCCTGGATTGAGAGCAGTTGTTTTTTCTTCTTTTTGATTTGGCCATATTTGCCTTCCCAGTTGAACCTGAAAATAATTTAATCGTTTATTCAAAATTCAGATCAATATGAAAATCCAATCTGTTTGTTTAAGTTTGCCTTGCTAGACATTATGAATTCACTAACCTTTTAGCTTTGTAGTATTCACTGGAAAACTCCTCTACTTTGCTCTTTTCAACCATGCCTGGATTGACAGCAGTTATTTTTTTTCTTGATTTGGTCATATTTGCCTTCTCAGTTAAACCTGAAAATAATTTAATCGCTTATTCAAAATGAAAGGCAGATCAATATGAAAATCCAATCTATTGGTTGCTTTGCTAGACATTATGTATTCACTAACCTTTTAGCTATGTAGTATTCACTTAAAAACTCCTCTACTTTGCTCTTTTCAACCATGCCTGGATTGACAGCAGTCAGTTTTTATCTAGATTTGGTCATAATTGCCTTCTCAACTGAATCTGAAAATAATTTAATCGCTTATTCAAAATAATAAGACATTATAAATTCACTAACCTTTTAGCTTTGAAAAACTTCCACCTTTCTCAGATATAAAAATGGTACAAATGGCGGAATGATAGAACTTGTACTCGTATAATATGTATATACTATCGAATCATGAACATTGAACACTTTTTTTTAATAAAACCTGAGCCCTGGGAATATTTCACTTCAGTGCTTGAATCTGAATCATATCAAAAATAAATAAAAATAAAAAGCCACTTGTCAACAATGTCACTTTCTTGCAAAAGATCTTCTTCCTTTTTGTCTATTTGGCCTTCATTCAATTGGATATTGGGACAATGCCATCTTTAATAATTATTTATATTATCTCATTATATATGTTTTTTGTATAATGTAACCAAATAATAATACAATGCGAATGCGAATCCATGGAAATATAGTAAAGCACGTACAATTGACGTTTTGCGGATATCTATTTCTTGACGTCCAGAGGATTTACTAAACTGGACATACTTAAAACGTCCATAATAGGTCCCGGACGTACAGACGTTAAATGGACATGTATTGGACGTCCTTAGGACGTCCTGTGCTATCTGGGTTCTTGGGCCCATTTTAAAGAAAAAACCTTATACGGACGTATGTCCTAAACCTCCTAACTTTTGAGATACAGGGCGATAAAATTATTTTTTTTTTATATAATTATTTTTGGAATCCTCATTTATATCTGAGCAAGCTATGATCTCCTCATTTTCTTTCGCCCGACGCATGGTTTTCGCTTAAAAAAAATAAAAATCGTTTTACTTCATGATGTGGTGACTGTTGCGTAGAAATCGCTTTTTTCTTTTTTCAAACTATTGAGTTCATTTCACATCAAATGTTGATTAATTCAGAAGTATAAGAAACTTATTTTATTTACAACCATATATATGTAATGCTGTCATTACTAACGTCATTGAAGGTTGGGAAGTGTCACATTACATACCTCTACTTCCCGCCCTCACTTTCTGCTCTCACTTCCTGCCCTCACTTCCCGCCCTCATTTCATCTATTCTAGATGAATATTTTTTATATTTAAAAAAAACCACATTTTTTTGACTAATTTTATAATACCTATTTAATGGCTAACAATAAAAAACAACAATGAACTAAAATACAACAAACTACTTTTTGATATTTATTATTCGCGAATTTAATATCCGGCTTTCTCTGACATTTATTTATATTGGTGACAGTTGTTTACCCCGTATTCACGGTAACAATATATTTACTTGATTATTCTGAGAAAACCGCGCGCTTGGTAATTTTTCGTTGAATGTAATATCAAAGAATACCTACCCAAGAAGCGAAACTGAATAGTTTTCGTTTGTACCAATGCATGGGAACTTAATACACTGGGAAACATATGAAAATTAATAAATTTTTGTCGTTTGGTTCATAAGTATTAAACACATACTAAAATAACAATGGGTTCGTTCACTGTCATCAACCAGTTTCATACGATTACGAATCGGTAAAAGGTAAACGAGCAAACTCGAAACAGCTTTTTTGAAACCGTTTGTTAAAACGTAAAAGCGCAAATTAAAGTCGCTTCTACGTTTAACAATCAAAAGTATGCCAAATGGGAACTAAAGAAAGGGTTCTGTGGCAGTGTTGTTTTCGCAAGTTGAAGTAAAACGCGTTTTAACATATTTTCCCGTAAAATAATTTCAATACCTGACTCAAAATGTTTGGAATAGTAAATGATCCTAGGTTAATTTAAAGTACAAAAGATATGTCAAATTATTTCAAATTTCAACCCGTCCGTTGTTCGTTGGGATAAATCAAAAACATTGAGATTAGGAGATTTTTTGTCAAAGAATTATATATTTTGAAGTAGTGAGGGTTCATTGGAGAGCAAAAAAACATCACCATATTGGCTTAAAAGTGGGATAAAATCGGGACACATGTTAAATCGGGACTATTGATTTAGTTCAATAAAATTTACGAACAACGCAATGAATTTTTTTAAAACTATCTAATTTCCGATTACTACTTATAGCGGATTCGACTGGCTGCATTAATGCGCATTTAATTCGACTTTTTTAAGTGGTGTTTGTTCGACTGACAGAACCTTATTAATTAAGTGTCAATTATTGCATTTGACTGAAATTGCTCGGTACCAAGGCATAGTGGAATTTTTGTTCGACTGGCAGTCGCTCTTGCTCAAAGTTCGAATTTTTTGGAACTGTACTTTTTTTCAGTGCCAGTGTCATTTTGGAGGTTAGGAATTATTTAATATTTTTAAATATATTACCATCTTTCTCTTTATTATTAGTGATAATGGAAAATCTTTGAAATTAATAGAGATATAATTTTTGGTTTGGCAACTATAAATAAATATCGTTAAAAATTTGTTATAAATCTGAAATGTCAAGTGCTAACTGTGCCAGTCGAATAACGATAGAGACGCGCTACACCAGTGTCGAACTCTAGCTCTTGCTTGCTGTGTGCACTGCTAGATATAAATTTGAATTATAAAAATGCTGCCCAAAATCGATTCAGAACCGAAAGCGCTTTGTCTTCGAGCAAGAGCATTTGAGTCGAATCCGCTATTGTTAAATACAACTACTTAACTATATTGCAACTTTCACAAAACACTAATAATAATATACCAAACGTTGTTCTACATACATTAGGTCTTTTCCTTTGCATTGAAAGTGTAGCACTGGGCTACACCAATTCTGAAAATATCGTTCCATATATACAAATTGTATGGATGGAACGATATTTTCAGAAGTGACGTAGCTCAGTGCTACACTTTCGATGCAAAGGAAAAGACCTATAGACAGCTATATTTGACGTTGAATCACCTCTAAAACACTGAGAAAACTTTGCAGTTTTTTGTCCGCGAATCGCCCATTTAGTTTCGCTTCTTGGGTAGGTATTCTTTGACGTAGGCTTCACCTTCTTGTTATTTTTTTTTTTAAATGTCATGTTGATATCGCTTTTCAAATTTGGTTTGATTTTTTATTATTTCAACCTGTAGAATAAAACTTTATTCAAATTCAAATAAAATTTATTACAATAATTAATTCACTATAATAACAGCAAAACGGTATAATATATTAAATATTTTCTTCCTTAGATTTACTGCACTGTATCTGTAAAAGAATGATTAATGATTATCTTCGCTCAGACCTTAATGGCAACGGTTACGGTTTAGGGGTGAGATTACAGAACGTCTGCAACTTTGCAGATATGGCGGACTTACAAACGCAAGTATTCCAAAAAATATCTGCAAATTCGCAATATTTATTGTGGTTTATTACCCCCAACAACACTAAACCCAAATTTGGAATACGAAAACTTGATTCTTGAATGTGTAAGTCAGTCATATTTGCAAATTTTCAAAGTTGCCGCCATATTTGCAGATCTGCAAAGTTGCAGACGTTCTGTAATCTCACCCTAGGCGACTAAAATGCTGGCGCTTTTCGGTGCGCCATCTCTTCGATCGAGCGGAATTACATCTTGCGGTCATCCACACGCCGACGGAAGGTAATGTTGGTTGCGAGTATTGTAGGGGCGAGCGTAATATAATAAAATATTTGCTACAACTCCAATTTTTAGTCAGATTTTTCAAAATCAATAGGTTCTGTTCCCTTATAGACCTTGATTTTTGAGTTGGGATTTTTTTTTTAATATTTAACCCTCCCATTTTTATTCAATTTTTTTCAAAATCAATATAGGCTTCGTCCCTTTATACACCTGAAATTTTAAAGTTGATATCATTTTTCGTTTCTGACTTATCGATCGGACAAAAACGTAACATCGGACGGACAGCATAAACCTATAATACTCTTCACAGACTACTATGTGAAGAGTAAAATAAAGTATTATATTAGAATAAAAGAACTCAACAGGCACAAATAGTTTATTAAATTAAATTGTATACATATATATGGACATAAATTTAGTATTAACAAAATTATGTACAATTCAGTGTTTTTATTGTAAAAATTATAAAAAGTAAGTAGCTTCTCGCCATTGAAAATATTTTTTAAAGGCAGCCAAATTATCACTTAATCATTTATATAAAAAAAATTAAGTGTGATACGAAATTTCGCGAGTTCAGTAATGATACCCGTATACACAAACTATGCTACATAATATGTTCTAATATAAAACATAGTATCAGATATATGTAGCAGTTTACAATGATTAGTAGTTTAGTAGGTATATTGAACCAAACTACTCATAATTCCCGCCACACATATTTAAGTTGATTTATCGTTAATAACATACGAATAAGAGAAATGTTAATTTTTTTGATTATACTTTCACATAAAAACAAAAAACTTGGCAGCAGAAGCTTTACAAATATTATGTTCTTGAGAAGATTGTGTAATGATGTTATAACTATATTAAAATTTGGCAACCCTGGATGGTATTCAGACGTGCAGGAAGTGATTAATTTGGCAACAGGAAAGTGTTCTGTTCCAATAAAAGGTGAGTTCGGTCTACGCACTCTTTTCACTCCTAAAGTACCTAAGGCGTTCGGGTACGGAAGGAGTTAAAATAAAAGTTCCTCTTTGACCGTTCGGAGATCGTGGAGTGGAGATCGGGCATGCGCATAAGGTGATTTAAATCGATAATACCATAATTGTGACTAATTTTTAAGTAAAAATGCTTTTTATTTGATTCCCGTGCATACCATTAATATGGAAGAAACTTATACGGTTGTTACTGATAAGTACGATTAGGTTTTTAGTATTAGTATGTTACATTGACAATTGACATTGAACTCTGAGAGTAAAAGGAGTAAAACCACATGCTCTACGTTTACGCCTACTTACTCCACTCTGGAGTGCGCAGCCCGAACTCACCTAAAGTAAACTCACTTTTAACGTTCTCTTTTTCGTTTTATCACTTCCAGTGTTAGTGTAAAAGATCATAAGAATAGTGTTCATTCTATTCTACGCTTTGAAAATTCTGTGGTCATTCAATTTTAGAATAAATATTGAATTTTCACTAAAAGCGGTTAAAATATAGATATAAAAATTTAAAACTTATCGCTATTTAATATAGTTTTCTACATATTTTAAAATATCTATTCATACCTGAGAAAAAATAGAGAATACCTGTAATGGTTAGGTTTTGTTAATTGAAATTTTTGAGATAGTAGTACCTTACAAATTTGGATTACAAGGAAGAAAAATACAATATGTGTAAAATACATCGGCTTCTTTATGTTCATATTATCAGAAGTGGGGCCGATTCGAGAGTGGTATTCGAAACATGTTGTTTAGAAAATTTTGTTCACAGCGCGTTTGTTCGAAAAACTTTGATTCGAAAATATGTTTCTTTGAAAAACTTTAGTTCTAAAATACGTTTCCTCGAAAAGCCCTAGTTCGAAAAATCTTGATTCGAAAATTGTTTTGTTTGACAAAGTGTAGCTCGAAAATAGCTTTTTAAAATTTTCTTATTTTATGTATATTTTTTTGCCAGGCCACACAGGTTAGGTAAATTATTTAAGTTTGTCTTTATTTTAGTTGGAACACTTGGAAAATATTTCTATTTTCTTTAATATGTTTTACATTTAGATTCAATCATAAAATCGCTTTTTCCCCTTTTTTCGAAGAATACTTCGAATTTAACTTTGACTTGTCGCGAAGCGTAAACAAAAACAGACCGAGACTGAAGACATAATGTGAATGTCAAATAAGATTTGTTTGCTTTGTACATTATCACAGTTAGTATTTAGTTATATACAGGGCACAGAACAAACTGAAGATTCTGATTAAAAATAAGATCAAAACAGTACGAAACTTTTAAATTACCGCTACTTCAACATGGTGGCTGCGCTCATGACATGATGAAAAGGTCTATTATATTCGCAGGTGGTGAATTATTTCGAATGCATAAGTAGGATTATTCACTCAAACAATCACTGTTGAGTTTTAATTAACAGTGCTGTTCCTAAAGTAGTGATGGCAAACAGTAATAAAGCCTACACATACCACACGCTATATAATAGTGAAACCAAAATGACTAGAATCTTCCATTATATCTATATATTGATATGATATTTTATTTCAAAATTAGAAGTTATATATATTTTGGGTTTTCACATTTATAAAAATTTTAATCAATGTTTCATGGGTAAGGTCGGTCCTGAAAATTGAAAATGAAAAAAAAAATCAGGACATCGAATTGTCATAAGAATTTGGGGGTTGTCAAAAAATTTTAAAAAGATTGTCAGATTAGAAATTTTGAAGGAAAAGGTAGTTGGAGTTGGTATGAAAAGAAAAGGAATATTGATGTGATTGAAATGATGGGAAAATACTAGAAGTTGAAATAAAAAGATTTAAAAGTAAAATGTAAAGAAATTTTTATTAAAAAAAAAAAAAAAATCAACGAAGTGAGAGCAGATTTGGCAAGAGGGTAGTTTGTAAAAAGCATAAGTAGAGACAATAGAGAGGAGTAGGAGCAGGTAAATACAAACAGACAGGAAGAGACAGGTGCAGGCTAGGGACAGTTGGACACGGAGAACGGACAGAGACGATAGCACATAGACAGAGATTTTTAAGTGAAAGAAGAAAGAACATATTATTTAATATAATTGTTAAATTAATATTTTTTTTTAATTTTTTAGTTACAAAATTCAATATTGTGAACCCATGGAACATTGAAATTGGTTAGATTAAGGTGTAGGTAAGAATTTTCTGTGTGCTGAAATCCAAATTGCTATCCTTGTTTGTGTGAACCCACGAACCCTGGGATTTTAAAATTATATTGGGAGAATAAAGGGTGAGTTAATTTTTTTTATATTACAAATTGATTTTCATAACATTATTTTTTTTAAATTCTATAACAAATAAGATTTTTCATATCAATATATCTATATTTTTTATGATACATTAATTTTGTGTTATATCTATATATTTTTTCTTTCTCTTCTATTTTATATTTGTTCTCAAAACAAGTGCCTTAGTAGCATTTATTGAGTATTAATATTTATTTATATAAAATTATTTCTGTATCTATATTACTTTGTAATTTGTATTATTTCTTGAATAAATATTAATACATCGAAAAAAAAATTGTTTATATTACTCAACTGCATCTTTTTATGCATTTCTTAGTAATAGACAGATAATTAATTAATAGTAGACAGTATTAGATTGAAAATCATACATAATTCATGGAATGACTAGAAAGTGATTTATATTCGTGAATGTCAACCCGTTTGATTCAAATCTTTTCTTTTTAATTCGGGCATGGAATCCGTGATTCGAATTACATTTCGTGAATCGGATTCGTGATTCGAATCTATTTTTTCAGGATTTTATATGATTTAATTGAAAATCCCCCTTAATTTTATACGATGACCTTTTTTTTACTTTTCCGTTGTGTTTTGATCCATAAGCTGCTGCATTTATATTTTTGAGCGACGAAATGATGTTGGTGATGATTTCGACCAAGATGTTCGATGATGTAGTGATTTCGAGTGAAAAAGTACCAGTATTTCGGTAGTGGTTCAACCCTCAGTCGCAGCTCTGGTTTATATACATACATGCTTTTATTTACGGATTTGTTAATTTATATCAACGAATTTTTAAAAAAAATAATGTTCGCAACACTTAAATTTACAATTTTTGAACAATTTGACAATTGATGCTTGCAAGTTATTTAATTGTTTTATGTGGATTGTATTTTTCAAATCATTATAGGTGTTCTCTATTTTGTTTGATCTAATATTTGTATTAAATCACTATTATGACTTACTCCCACAAAAGATAAATAGTTTAAATTACAAATAGTGTTATACATAAAGAGTATAAAAAAATTAATAACTTTATGTAAACATAGGTATCTAAAATTATATTATATATTTACAGGGTACCTATTTTTTCCCCGTCTGACTTGGGGTTATAATATAAAGGGATATAATTGGCAACAGAGCATCCGTTCGGTATCCTTCGTGTCTAGTGTCAAATGGGTAGGGTTGCCAGACGTCTCGCTTTAGGCGTAATTGTCCCGCTTTTTCACTTGCTGACACGCGTTACGTCAAAGTACGAAAATGTCCCACTCTTGACTTAAATGCCACGCTTTTAAATATCCAAAGTTATAAATAAAGACCCTTTTTTAGAAGCTCGTCAGAAGGACCTGGTTGGTTTTTTAACTTGATCCCCTTTCGTATATCTGGCAACCCTACAAATGGGGATGAGCCTGTTGCTGTTGTGTCGAGGTCAATGTATGATGCAAGACAGGAAAAAATAAGTACTATATATAAGTACAGTCGAATATACAATTAACATTATATGATTACAAATTTCTTTTTTTATATTATTAATCAATCGAGTAATACATAGAAGTTTTTAACTACCAAAAAGTATACGGAATAATAGCTAATAATATTCAATAATAAAACTTAAACATACTTTTTTTAAGTTGATTCTTTACATTCTTCTTTATTTGTGATTAGATAATAATTATTATGTATTTAAAAATCATTCAAAAAATAATTCAACATTTTTTGTTCGTAAATTATTTCATGTATATTTTAGTTTACTTATATACCAACTTGAAAATGTACAATCTTTTTGAAATAGAGTTACTTTAAACAAAAATGTAACAAAATGACTATCTGGAATACTTAATTATTAATAGCTGACTTTACAATTACTAAAAATCCAAAATAATAGACAGTAATTTAATGTATGAAGAATGCTGTCATATGTCATTAGGTCAAAGTTTGGAGGTTACGGGGACAAGGGTTTTTTTGGGAATATATTGTAATTGCATATATGGAACCTCTGTCAGCATTCTTCGCATTAAATTATCGTCTATTATTTCGGTATTTAACTATACATCATTTGATAAAAAAAATATCAGTAACTTGGACATTGACAACTGTTAAAATTCAATATAAAGTTTACTTTACACAAAAAGCAGTTTAACTGATCCCCTAAAAACACATCTAATCTTCCAAAATTTCGTATCACAGTCCAGAAAGCTCAATTTATCAAAATAATCTCATCTTTTCCACTTAATGGCTAAACAGATAGGACGCCAGCAAAGAGATTACCAAAAGGATGGAATTGAGGTAGAATGCACAGCCTGCACATGGTTTGCTGACATATTTGAAAAAATCTTCATTTAGTTTTTTGTAGGCACCATAGGAGGGACACTGTTGTGTTAATGTTTCAGCGAAACATTGTTTTACTATCGTCAGGTCACTAAAATAAAAAAAAACAATTAAAAATGGCAAGTACAAAGTTTGGAACTACAATATTTATGTTTCAAGTGCCCCTTATGTAAATGCTATTGTTAAAATAATAAACATTGACTTTAGGATCTATTTTATTATCTTATATTGTATTGAGAGGATGAAATACTGATTGGTTTTCATAACTGCGCAAAATCGCAAAACAACATTGAATTACAGTACGACAAGATTGAGAAAGCAAGTCAGAATTAGATTCGCACAGGCAAAAATGCAAAATAGATAAATTTGGCAACACTGTACAAGTGAACACAAATACATTACTGAAACAATAACATCGAAAGTCAGCAATTTACTAGATTTACTACATCAATTTGATTTTGTATCATTAGAAACACGTAGAAATCAGGCATCTGTTTTGTTTTTGCAAAAATTGTTAAATGGTGAAATTGACTGCGCTTTGTTGCTCTCTCAAATAAATTTTTTTGTACCTAGGATAACATCTAGACATAATATTACATTTCTAAGTAAATGAGCTCAAACTAATTTGTTATCAAAAGCGCCAATTACCTTAATGTGTAGTAATGCAAACAAACTATCAGATATTTGTGATATTTTCTGTTACAGTATATAAGAATTAAAAACAAATCAAGAGCTTATCTTTGAATTCATATTAATTTTTTACTATTTTCTACTTTTTACTTTTAATTTTATTGTAATTTATTGACTTATCTTATGTATTTTATATTGTTAAATTTGCCTTGTAAATGGGAAACTGTTGGGCAATAAATGGTTTTATTACTATTATTATTATTTACTGAGATAACTCCTCCCATTTTAATATTTGCCAGTGTGCATCTAATTCTGACTTGCCACCTCAAACTTGTCGTACTGTATTTGGGTATAAACTTCAATATAAATAAATAAAAAAAAAAAACAAATTTTTTATTGCCCAACGGATATATGACTTCTAAAGAGAGGACAAAAATATAACAATAGATTATTAAGAATAAAAATAAATAAGTATGTACCAAAATAGTAATAAACAATAATAAAAAGAGGCATTCCAACGACCTGTCAAACAATTAGGGATTCCAACGACATGTCAAACAAATAGGGATTCCAACGACCCGTCAAAATGATGCCAGTGAGAACTGACAGTTTAGATATAACAACCCTGTGGGCCTGTTGTCATTGACAATGATACATATATAGTTATATAGATTGCTCAAAGCGGATCGTTTGCGAGCGGCCATATTGCCTGGCAAGTGTTCATTAATTTGAATCGGTTTAGCAAAAATGTGTTTTAAAACCAATTTTCAGCCTTTGAATAGTAAAATAAAATTAATTACGTTTATTTTTAAAAACATGGATGATCAATTTATATAACTTTCGATATGATTGATCCTGTCAAATCACCAGGCCCACAGTGTTGCCATATTATAACCTATCATGCGCTTGTCATTTTCTACTAGCAGACATTTTGTTTGGAATGTCTAATAGCTGCCATTGGGAAGGGCTTGTATATTCTAAGGGGGTTGCGATATAGCCTTCCATCTAAGACGCCATATTTATTCAAAATAGTAGTCACCCCGAGCAATTTTTATTAATTTTTATTAATTTTTATTTTTTATTAATTTATTTTTATTAATTTTTAATAATTATTTTTTTAAATTTTAGTTTATTTTTATGATACTACTATGAAACCACAGAGCACGTCATTATTTATTTATGCTACAATTATAATTTTCAAGTTCCAACTTTCAAAAAATTTATACTTCTATAAAAAATTTCACCCCCCTTAAAATGTGAAAATCCAAAAACCATGAAACACATCATTTTTTATTTTTAATCCGTAGCTGTAATTCAAATTTTTGTTTCAAACTTAAAATAACAAAAAAATATATACAAACTATTAAACAAATTTTCACCCTTCATTTCCACCCTTAAAATGTTAAAATGCAAAACCCTGATACACTTTATTATTTATTTATGATGAAAACCTACAATTCCAATTTTTAAGTTCCTACCTTTAAAAAAATCGATATTTCCAATTAAAATGTCACCCCCCGTATTCCCCCCTTAAAATGTGAAAATTCAAAAACCCTGAAACATGTCATTATTTATTTATGCTCAGTAGCTGTAATTCCAATGTTCATGTATCTAACTTCAAAGAGAACAAAAAAATCGATACTCTCATAATACAAACTTTTACCCCCCGTTTGCCCCTTTTAAAATGTGAAAATTCAAAAACACTGAAACACATCATTATTTATTTATTTATGCTCAGTATCTGTAATTCAAATTTTCATGTTCCTAATTTCAAAGAACAAAGACTTTCATAAAAAGTTTCCTCCCCCCATTTACCCCCCTTAAAGTTGAAATTTTCAAAAATCCTTTCTTAGCGTGTGCTTATGTTATAAAATAAACCTATGTTCCAAATTTCAGCTTTCTAGACTCAGTAGTTTTGGCTGTACGTTGATAGGTCAGTCAGTCAGTCAGTCAGTTAGTCAGTCAGGACAAACAATTTTATATATAGAAGAAGATAGATAATCAATAATAGACTTGCACAAAATACTCGTAGTATATCTACGTTTGGTGGGTACATACAAAATATATGCCTAAACACAATGAGAAAATTTATTTTTAGGTTACTTTTAATTATTCTATTTTTTGACCCCAATAATACTAATTAAGCATGATCATTAAAGTTAAAATCTAATGATCATTCTTGAATATAAGAAGAAATCAAATATTTATTCATGCTAGATGAAGATTACATGCAAAATTTTAACCTTCAATAAAATTTCTAGATGTCGATATATGAAAAATATTGACGGTTTTGTAACGAAAAATAAAAGTAGATGCAAATGAAATATTTATTGAAACAATATTTATTCTGGGATCTATTTTGATTTACACTTTACTCTCCTGTAACAGATTAAGAACTTTTTCGAAAGCAAAAGTGTTTGATTATCGTTTTATAAATAACTAATAGTCTTAACAGATGCGCCTTTAAAATTCACTATGTTTACTCCAGAATTTAAAGTTAATTTTTATTAGAATTCCAGAGGTCGTGATTTACTCTTTTTTATTATTTTTACGGTTACTTGTTAAATTTATATTAATTTAAAACAAATCATGAATCCTCTTTGGGTGATTTATTCTCATTATATTTTCTAAAAAGTTTTAAACGGATTGCGTTATACGGCCTTCCCTAAAATGCAAATTACATACAAAAAATATTAATGACAAATTGAAAAAATAAAAGAGGTTAAACAAAGATTTTTTTAAATAAAACTCAGCGTATTTTCTCGCATTTCTTTCAATTATTCACGTTATTAATTTTTTAATAGAAGTCTGCAAAATCAATAGTCAATAATATCATCAACATTTCAAGTAGACTGAAATGTTTCTCATTTAAAATGTCTAGATTATTGTGTTCAAACAAATTTTCCGCATAAAAATTATAAAACGAGCTAACTAGTCATTGTAAGATATGGTCCGATATTAACCAAAATATCGATTACTGGGTCCAAATTAAATTAGGGACGTGGTTTCCTGAAAATGGTGACTCAAACGTCAATTCACTAAGCTGGTGGATCAGACAATAAAAATGTGAAATAGAAAATGGTTATTATAAATACTTCCAAGTGAGATAAAAAACAACCTGTTTGCGCCCATAGAGTCGCATCTTAAGCCTATTGACAAGTATTCTACCCCACTCCAGTTTATTAATAAATACGGGCCAAATCTATTCTGTAAATTGTTATTTGACCTAGCCTAATATGCCTACTGACGACTAACCACCTGGGGGAGAAGGTCCCCTTAGTCGCCAAGTAGGAGACTGGGGAAGCTTTCACAGGTGGCGACTTTCACAGAACGTGCACACACAAGACAAACAAATGGACGACGAAACAAACCCTGTCTAAATGCTGATAATATGTCATCCTTCACAGTCCTTTAAGAAGGAATGACACTAATCAAAGGATGGAAATTTGAGGCCCCCTGTAGCGAAGATGTCAGGGGGGGACGGTTGTTTAAGGAGGGTTTCGATGCAGTTTAACAGGATGGGAACCTTCCCGACTTGGGCTCAATAACTGTGTGTCGCTAATACCTAATCCAATCAAGAAGTGGCGGCAGAAATGACAGTAAATACAGAGCAGGCCTAGACATTTTCTTCGACCAATATTTCCAAGTGAAAAGTTATTTCTTTCATTCTATGAAAAAAAAAACTTCTTTTATTGTAAATTATTATGTTATCAGTCATCAGTAACCAGACCTTAGGCAGACGTCATTCAATCAAAGACCTTGGAATTATGTTTGTTAAAAAAATATTTTTAACGATCATATTAAAGATAATACTGTAGCTGCGTCTGTTGTTGGGATACGGTGCACGTAATTGGTCTAGTTTATCAATGTTTTAAATGTACAGTTTCTTTTTTTAGTAAATGTAAATTGGTAACATATTTTTAAAAATTCAAAGGAAAAATGTATTAAACCAATACGCCGAACAAGGTTTCAACTGTCAACTGAAATTTTGCATATTATATTTTCACACGCCCACTATAATTATTATCATAATCGCGCTGTTTTTATGAAGGTCTTTTACAATTTGTGGTATTCTTTTAAATCATACAATACAATATTTTTAATAACATGCAAATTATCTATAAACATACTTAACAATAATAATGGATTTACTTATAACGAATTAAATATAACTTTTCTTTTAGCAATATGTTTCATTAGGTATATCAGTTTTTTAACTCTATCAAATGCCCTCTTGTAATCTACAAAGCAAATGTACGGTGTTATTTTAAATTTGATTGATTTTTATTTTTATTTGGACTTCTAAGAAATAGAGTGGAGATTTTTAAATTTGTTAATCAGAACTGTTTCAAAAAAGCCACAAATTTAGACTGCTTAGGAATTGCAAGATCTTGAAGAGCCTGTAGCATACTTTGGTAAATCTAAATCAGAAAAACCAAACTCGGAATCATAGGGGAAATG